AACCATTATGGCCACCGATTTTCAGGTCGACGGTTCGATCGTCCAGTTCGAACGAACGGCCCATTCTGACAACAAAAATTACAGGCAAGAAATTGAGTGTGTGAGGTCCATTAAGCAGTATCATACGTGTTATGTCATTCGAGTATGTGAATCATACGACCTGAAAATGGAACTGTTATGGCCATCGGTTTTCGGGTTGACGGTTCGACTGTCTAGTTCGAACGGACGACCTGTTTTGACAACAAAAAAAAAATGGCCAAAAACCATTGAATGGGTGAACGGGTTAGCGGTTCGACCACTCGGGTCAATGGGTCATTGACTAATTCAACGGTTTTTTGGCTAGGGACTGGGATTGGGGTAAAACGGAACTAGTTGCCTGGGCAATACCTAATTAAAAAAAAAAAAAAAAAAACGGACTACCTGTTCTGACAAAAAAAATTGCAAGCAAAAAATTAAGTGTCTGAGGTCCATTATGCAGTACCATGCATGTTATGTCATTCGAGAGTGTGACTCATACGACCCGAAGATGGAACCGTTCTAGCTACTGGTTTTTGGATCGACAGTTCGACTATTCGGTTCTAACGGATGGCCTATTTTGACAACAAAAATTTAAAATCTAAAAAACCCAACCAAAAACCATTGAACGAGTCAACGGTTTGACCGCCTGGGTCAATGGATCATTGACCGATTCAACGATTTTTGGCTAGGGACCGAGATTAGAATAAAGTGGAACTGGTTGCTTGGATGATTCCCAATGAAAAAAAAATGGCCAAAAACCATTGAACGGGTCAATGGATCGACTATTCAACCGCTCGAGTCAATGGGTCATTGACCGATTCAACGATTTTTGGCCAGAGACTGGGTCAATGGGTCAACGGGTCGACGGTTCCATTCCAGCCCCTACGAAGCTTGATCCTTCCGCTAGTTACCCATTAAACCAATAAGGAAATAACATAGGCTTAACTATTTCTAACATCCATAAAGAAAGAGGGTTTTGCTTTTCTAATGTTTAGCCAAGTGGAACCACTTTCTTCTAAATTGTCTCTAATTCATATTTATCCTCTCCCCYACTTTTTATCTACATCTATCTAAAGAAAAATTCAATTAAAAAATTTTAGAATTATTTAAATATTGTAACAAAATTATATAATGAATTTAAAATATTTAATCAAATCACAAAAACTAATTATAATATATTTAATAATATTCATATTATTAATAATTCTATATATTTACAAAATTCATCATGAAACTATGTAGTAACAATATAAATTATAATTTTATGAATTATTCAATTTAAATGTTATTCAAACAATAAAAATTTAACATTAAAAAATAACACTCTTTAAATATTTCAACAACTAAATATCTTAAATAACAAAACATTAAAAGTAGATAAATAATTATATAACAAAATATTTAAGATTACGTAATAACTTTCAAAATAAATAAAATTCAAATAATGAAAATTTTTAAATATTTTACATATTATGTAAATATTTAAAATGACTAAATTTTAAATAGTTAAAATAACGAAATTATGTAATAAATTAAAAAAATCTTAATAGTAGAAAAGTAATTATAATAGATTTCATAATATTCATATTAATAATAATTTAAAATTTTACAAAATTAATAACGAATTATGTAATAATAGTACTAATTATAATCTTATGCATTATTAAATTTAATAAATAATTAATATCTTAAAATTTTAAATAACAATATTATTTAAATAATTAAATAATATTGTAAATAACTAATTTCACTTATATCATTCAATAATTATTGGAAATAACTTTCAAAAAATTAATATTTTTTAGTAATAATTTTTCAAAAAATAGTGTATATTCATTATATATTTATATATACTAAAATTAATATTTATTGTTTTTATTAATTATTTTTTGTATTATTTGATAAATATTTTTTCCATAATTATTTATAAATCCATTTTTGTTTTTTTTTTAACAGAAAATTGTCAATAGTTATTGGAGATTAAGCAACTATTATTTAACTTTTGAAATTTAATTTATTGTATTTTTGTTATAAGTTTATTTTTATAATTTATTGATTAATATTTATTAGAGATTAAAGTACTATTTGAGATTACACTATTTATTAACTAATTTAATATATTTTTAGTATTTTTGTATTTTTATTAGATATCTTTTGTATTTTCATTATAAATTTGTTTGCAATAATTGTGTATTTTTTCTATAAATTTTTAATAATTATTAGAGATTAAACTATTGTTATCTATTAGAGATTAGACTATTAATTTAGTGGGAATTAGGAGTATTCAAGGATCAGTTCAGTTTGGTTGCAAGTTGTTTTGCCAACCAAATCGGCTTGGTAAGGTTGGGAGTTTGTTACATGAAATCGAGTAACCATTAGTGAAAACCCACTAACTCAGGTTGTATCAGTTTGAGTCTATTTTCGATTTGGTTTGCTTGTTTAAAATATTTAAACTTAAAAATTAAATTTAAATTTAATAAATTACAATGGTATTGTAAAAAATAAATTAAAAAATTGAATTAATGACAAAATATTTTAGACTAATAAACATTGGAATTTTCCCACTTTCCCGTATTAAAAAAATTATATTTAAAATATAAAATATTAATATACATCTATGGTTAGGTCAGTTCAATTTTTGGTCAATTTACAAATGGCCAAACTGAAACTGACCTAACTTGGTCGAGTTGGAAAATTGATGAACCAAAATCGATCAGAAATACTAAAAAACTGACCAACTTGGATCAAGTTCGATCGAATTGATTATTAAAAAGTTAAGATATAAAATGATTATATACTCTTATGTATTTTTATTGATTAACTTTCGGTTAACAAAACCCATGCATCACACGGATCCCCACTATCTATACTACTAATAAAAGAGCGAATAGCCCCATTTTATAAATTTTTCATTAAATATTTTTACCCTTTATTTAAACAACATACACCGAACATAAAAAAGGATATATACATCCTTTGCTCTCACTCCAAAAACTACACATAACAGTAGATACTGTTACATACAAATGCACTACTAGTTATAATATATGGGGGAAGAGAAAGAATATCACCGTACCAACTTCAACCTTGCTCCATTTCTCAAAATGATTATGGGGAACAAGCAAAACCGGACATCCAAAATTGCCATAAAGATAAAGAAAGCTCCACTGTCGTTTCTAAGGCCTCCACTTGCCATCTCTCCTTCTCCCTTCTTCTCCGACTCAATGCTTTGATTTTATCCTTGCACAAACCGACAAAAGTAGACCGGGTCAAACAAAAGGGACATCTCGATCTTTTATGTGTAAACAGATGTTAGGGTCATAAGAGTCATTTTATACTTCCCTTAACGTAAAGTCGTAAATCAGTAATCTATAATAGGGTTGCAAACCATGATGGATGTTCTAACTAATAATACACAAATTATGGGGGTGTCTTAGTAACTATGCAAAACTAGAGGGGGTGTTTTAATAAATGACCATCTTTTTGGCTCCATGAAGATACACACAAGAGGGGTAACCCATCCCTAAACCCATAACCCCTCAAACCCTTAGGCTATGGAAAAAAAAAAGAAAACTTTACAAATCTTGTATAAACTTTCCTACATTTTCCTTCCTTTCCCTATTCTTTTCTTCAAATCAAACATAGCGTTAGTGCAGGCTGGATTCCGACCCCAAATCTCCTCTTCAAGCAGTAGAAGACATTATCAACTACAACTAGCTTTCGGGCACTTAGTTAATAAAGGGGTTTCGGTGGAATCTGATAATTGTCATTGAAAGATGTTTCTAATATACAGTTGAAATGTGCTGTTTGTGGTCACCTACCAGCAAAACACGTTCTAACCCTCTACCAAATTCATTTAACACTGTACATCTCATACATGATGGGTCTTAGTCTCATAGTGAGATGTGCGGTATTGGATGAAGTTGATAGAGTGTTGGAAGGTGTTTTTTTAGCAGATCTCAACTCAATAAAGGTTTGTGTTAGAAAAACAAAATTTGCAAATTCAAGGAAAGTTTTAGGGGAACGGAAAAAATATGAGAGGGGAGTTTTAAAAATAGCAAAAAAAGGGACCGTCCACTCCAGGAAATAGATGTGAACGACCCAACTACAAGAAGTCAAGAACCTTCTCATGGCATTTACAAGTAGGGGTGCAAGTCCGGCGGGCTGGGCCGGGTTTTAGCTCAACCCAAGCCCAACCTTAAGAATTGGACCTAAAGCCCAAGCCTGAGGTTAAGCCCGAATTATTCAACTCAAACCCAGCCCGTACTAAAATTTTAGGCATTCGGGTTGGGCCTGGGCCCGGGTCAAACTTGAACTGGTTAATCAGCCCAAAGGCCAAAGCCCCAAACTAAAATTTAATCAGCCTAATGAGTTTTTACTCGTTTTGGGTTTTCTTAATTAATGTTGCCAACTTTGCCATAATAAGTTTTCACTCGCTTTGGACTTTTGGGTTTTTGGCGGTTTGGCCTTTGGGTTTCCTTAATTAATGTTGTCAACTTGTCATAATGGCATTTGAATTAAAAGAATTTGAAACGTCAAAGTCTCATAGACACACAAAGAGTGAAAGAGAGAAATCGCGTTTAGAAAAAAAAACTTAAGAAACTAATTAATGACTTTGAGTAATGGCATTGACAATGACACCAAATATTATTAAATTAATAATTTACTAATTAAACAACTACCATTAAGCCAACATAATGACATATTAACATACAATTCATTGATTCAACTATATACTACATGTACAATACATCAGACCGAACTCGGGTTACACAAGACCTCAACCCGAGCACAACCCCCAAAAAAATAAAAACCCGCCTTTTCAAGCCCAGGCCCTCCCGAGCCCATAAAATCTAACCCAACCCGTGAAAAAATTCGGGTTGGGCCGGGCCGGTCTGGGCTCGGGTTAAGCCCGCCCAAGTTGCACCCCTATTTACAAGACGAGAGAGAGAGAGGCTATGGCTATCGATGAGCCTACGTTGCCCACCACCACAAAAAACTGTCACTGGCCCCCGCGGAGCGACAATTTGAAAGAGAGGCCATGACTTTATCTCACAGAAGAATGAAGAGAAAAAGAAGAAGAAACGACCCAAATGAGTGCTCTCACTTGTTGTTCCACGTCTTCTGCTTGCTGCCGGACCCGGTTCTTCGGCAGACCCCTCAATCCTTCTTCTCTCCCTGCCACTTCTTCCCTTCTCCACCACCACCACCCCCCCTTCTCCTTACGAGGTAAGCTCTACCTTCTTTTAATCTCGTTCTGTTCTTTCTGTCTCCATGAAGTTGTATTCTTTTTCTTGTCATGCTTATTTACCAGGAGAACAGAGAATTTGATAGTTAAAGATGTTATGGAGTTTCACCTACAATTAGGAAGGGAATCAATCTGGGATTTCACATCCACTTTTTTCTTATAGTAGAAGTTTGAGCATGTTATCCCCTTTAGTAGTCATAAAGAACCTTTGTTATCATCCAATTGATGCTTTCTTGTTTGAATTTATCAGGATGTTTTAGATTTGAGTCACTTAATGAGGGAGACTAATGAGCATAAGAAGTAATTAAATCATTGGAGTTATTTCGTGTAATTTGATCAGTAAGAAGAGGCCGTTGCTTGGTGAGATGGTAAAATCTCGGGTTGGCAAGCGTGAGATTTTACTAAGAAGGGGTTATTAGGTAGTGGATTTGTTTTAGTTCGGTTACTAAGTCGGGAAGACTTAACATGATGTCCCTTTTAGTAATCATTAAAGAACCTTTGATTGAATCCATTTGATGCTTTCTAGTTTCAATTGTCCAGGATGTTTTAGATTTGAACCATTTGATGGAGAGTTGGGGGATGGAAAGTAATTAACTTACTGTATGACTTAAATTTAATTTCATACTATAATTAGGGCCATTGCTTGGTCTAATGGTAAAACCTTGGGCTGAAAAGTGTGAGAACGAGGGTTTGAGTCTGTGAGTGGCCACTTTGTGGAAAAAATGCCAAATGTTAGGTCCATATCCAGTCTGCCTCTCTGCAGACCCTAGATAGCTGGCACCAACATTGGGTAGAAGCCCTTTGAATTTGATACTATTATTGGTGTAAATCGAGGAAGGACTACTGCTAGATGTAATGGTTTTGAACTTTTGATATAACTACGAAAATAGGCCATGCGTCAGTGGTTTTCCCTGCTCCTCATAATTCCTTTTCCCATATTTTAACCCTTTCTGTAGTTATTGTCATTTTATGCATACAAAAGAGTCTTGGCTTCTATTGCAGAACAATTATTGGATGAATTTAACATTTCCGATTAGTAATGGAAACTTGATTAGGAGGCTTATATTGACAGTCACAACCTTGGTGACCACAACCATTGATACATAGGGTTTGTAGTTCGCACAATCCAATGGTGGAATTGCATTTGAACTGCATTTCAAGAATTGAGTTGTGGTTCATGAGTAATATTAATTGAGGAGATAAATAATGGTTTGGTACTGTTATTTTGTGAAGAAAAAGGACACAACCACTCTTGCATGAAAAGGTCAGCCTATGTACAACCTGTCATCCTCTCTCTGTTTGCTAAGTTATGTCTATGTTAGGCTTTTATTCTCTCTCTCTCTCTCAAATGTATGCATGTATTCCCACTCCATTCACTAATCAATACATAGTAATATTTGTAATATAAAATATTACATAGAGAGAGAGAGATCATTCTTTATGATATATTTGTAATATAAAATAATCAATACATAGTAATGAAAAAATAAAGTATCAATTCTTAAGGACTAAGCTAAACACTTGCTATTCATTAAGTATACTTATATTAAGTATGCATGGATGCTCTATAGATGCCCCAATCTTTGAAGTTTTTTAAATTCGATGCTTCTATGTTTCTGCTCCCACTCCAACTCCTGCCCAGGCTCCACAATTTGGTCACTTAGGTTGCAACAGGGCATCTGAGATAATTATAGATACCCACAGACTTGGACCATAACATCCTGCTTGCCAGATGCTCCAAGATAGACATACATAGCCTTCTAAGGAATTTGAATATTTTGCCTCTTATTTTCATGTTAGAGAAACACATGAACAATATGGTTGTTTACTCTGGATATTAGGGAATATAAGCTTAATTCTGTTGCAACATCCTATGATTGTAGAGAGGCCAAAATGGCTTCTCACCTCATAGCCTCTCCAGGTCAAGTTGGGTGGTACTCCATTATATGACATTTATTTTTACTCCTAGACTATTGGAAATTGTTTTTGAGGGCACAAGAGGGAGGACTACCCCTTGGTTTGTGTATCTTGTTTTCTTTTTCATCTAGTACCAAAGAAAAAGGTAAAGAAATGAAGTGATAATAAAGGGGGCATTTAATTCTATGTTTTGCATTTGTAATAATGATTAAAGAAAACTTATATTTTTTTTGATAGGTGAAGAAAAACTATATTTTCCAAGTTGCATTATTTACAAATAGCTGAATCATGTATTTGACTAAATTGCTCAATATGGTTTGCAGTTTCTAATGACGCTACTAGGACTGATGTGTCAACTGATCCTACCATTGAGAAGGCTGAGGCTGACAAGCTTGTTGATGGAATGGATTTTGGTGAGCTTTGTAATGACTTTGAATGCATCAGTAGTCCCTCTGTGGAATCTACAGCAAGGCAACTAGCACGTGATATCCTGGAGCTACGAGATGGCAATCGTGCTTTAGGAACTTTTGCTGTTTCTGTCAAATATAAGGTATTTTTTGGGAATTTGTTGTTTCTACTTCTTCACAGACACTTTAGAACTGGAAACAACTCAAGAGCTTTCAATTTGTTTCTTTTCCTTTTAAATGGAAAGATTCTCCACTAAATTCTTCTTGGTGAGTGGCAATATAATAAACTGCTTTGATAGGACAAAGTCTCCTTTAAACAGTGTTTTTTTTTTAAGTACATCTGATTTGCTCTTGCAATGGCAGTTGAGGACTTTTTGCAAAGAGAGGATCTTACTGAAATGTTGTTACTTGATACATGCAATCCATATATCTGATGCAAGACAACTACTAGATAATGTATAGCCTAAGATTTACCATTGAGAACAGATCTGGTTTGGGGGTTAGTTGGATACAATGGAGATTGATCATTAGAGATGGGGAAGGAATGAAGTGGTAAGCAATGCTAGAAGGTAACATATTAAGAAATGCTTGGATTTAATATGAGTGTCAAAATTTTACTATGGTTAAGAACACAAGAAAAGAACAAGAAACAAACAGAAGGATAACTAGATGAGTCAAATGTTTTTTTCTTAAACAAGTATTAGGGTCATTGGGTCTGAACAGGTTTGTTTGATTCTTATCATTTTTTTGGGATTCTCATCTCAGAATTCTGCAACTTTCTGGAAAATTCTTATTGTCACTTTTTCTGCTTCAAGTGAGAAGTTGAGAATTATTTTGTTGCCTATATGGTAGGCCATAAGATCATTACTCTGGGACTGGTTGGAGATTCGGATCTTTATGTTGAGAGAAGGCAGGAGTAGTTTGCATACTGCTTTGTTTGTTTACCGTGCTGTCAACTATTGGAGAACAAAGATATTTTCTGGATCCATTGATGATTTTAACTGTTGCTTATCAAAAAAAAAAAAAAACTGCTAGTACTTTTTAAGTTTTATGAAGTTTTTGCCATTTAATTACTCAAGTAGTTGAGCAGAAATCTAGTGTTTAATCTGGTTTTGTGAAAGAAAAAAGATGAAAAGAAGAAGAAAGGAGAAGATGAAGTTTGAAGAATAAGGGTGAGAATCACTTTTGGTCCTCATGCCTAAAACGTTGGCATTTATATGAAGAGTACATAACTACAATACTGCCCCTAGTTGGGTGCCTCTTTATTCCAACAATGCCACTATATTTACTCCTGAAATTTTATTATCTTGCAACTATACCACTATACTGCTTTTCATTTTTGAATCTTTTCCACGCTGCTTTCATTTCCTATTTCAGAAGTTGTATTTAAGATTTACACATTGGGATTATTCCCAGCTTTTTTTTTTTTGTTTCTACTTGTTACCATCTAAAGAAGCAATTATTTTAGATAGGATTTTGTCTCATATGCTTTATCTAGGATATTATACACAAATAATTGAGCTGAGTTTTTTGATAGGCATGACATACACAATGAAGGACCTAATTTTTTGGACTTGAGAAATGGATCTCCAGGGTGGTTGTTACTTTTGCTTGATACTTAATTTGGACAAATATTTTCTCAGTTGTTGCTTTACATGGATGGTTGACCATAATGTGCTTGGTATTTCAACTGTAGGATCCAGTTAGAAGTTTTACTGGTCGGAACAAATACAAGAGAACATTATGGGTAAATGATGTACTAGATAAACCCTTGGTGGTGAGACTTCAAGGCCTAATTTCTTATTTATTTCACATGAACTTGAATATTATTTTTTTTTATTTTCATTATCTTCCTCATTTGTTGAGGGTGTAGCTTCAAATGCTGCATTGATTGTAGAAGATACTTATTCATCCCTATTTTCTTAATGAGCCTGTTCTTTATTGACTTACTTGTCCATGGTTTGAAGACTTATAGAATAAAATTTCAATTACAATGGTGTGAAACCTAGGCACACTATCTGGTCAGAAACTTGAGCTAGTGAGCTCATTGATTAAGCAATAAAACTAGACTGCGTACATTTGTCATGAGTACTTAAGGGTATCAAACTGCTTCTTATAATCAGAAATGAAAAAAAAAGAAAAAGAAGAAAAAGAAATACTTGCTTGTAGAAAGCCAGAAAATAATAAAAGAGTAATTGAGATTGAAATAAGAATGGAAGAGAAAAGATGAACAAGGAGAGAAGAGAAGCAGGTTGCAGAAAACTGAAGGGAACAAAAAGTTATGGTGCCATCCCACTCTTGCATTTATGTTAAAAATAGGTGCAATGACCAAAATACTAGCCGCCTATTTAAAGAATAAAATACAACTATTGAAAAATGTAGCAGCAATAAAAGAATCTAAACCAATTTCTCAACAGGAATAAAGAAAGACAATGTTCCATTTTCAAAAAGATGATTATATCATAATGGATAGAGGTTTCAGTTTCAACTCATCGATTTCTTTGAGTATAGTTCCAGCTTGGATTCCTGCAGTCTCAAACTCTCAATTAGACCATACACTATCCTTAGAGTATATTTTGATGACATTATTGTTATAGGGAATGGCAATAGTGAGATTGCTAAACTCAAGAAGTTTTTGAGTTCAGAATTTGAGATTAAAGATTTGGGAGAGCTATGCTATTTTTTGGGGATGGAGGTGACTTGTTCTCTTCTTGTTTCTACTTGGACATCTTCATCATTCCACCAATCCAACAGATTTAGTAGTACTGCTAGTAGAAATAAACTTGTTTGTTGACATTGGTGTTTGGGTCACATGTCTTTTTCTTTTTTGATAAGTGAGCAATTTTATTAATTCAAATAAAGCAAGTACAGTCAGCCTAGGAGGAGGCACTTGGTGTTACCTCCCCCAAGGACTGAACCATAAGCACTAAACATACACAAGCCTGATACACAATTACAAGGTAGCCCAAAACAGATCTCCCCTTGATACCCCTTGCTTGGCTAGAGAATCAACCATTACTTTTGCTGATCTGCTAACCCACTGAACCCTGACTGTCATATTTCTTGTCAGCCATTGAACTTTCTTTAACAGATCCCTGTAGCCCCAACAAGCTGTTTTTGGACTTGTCATCCAGCCCACTACTATCTTGGAATCCCCTTCTACTATCAAATTGTTCACTCCAAGTTGATTGGCCAGATGTATACCTTGTACTGCTGCTGGTATCTCGGCCCTTACAGAATCACCAACATCCGCTGGTCCTAAAAATAAAGATAACATGTTGCTGTCTTTGACTCTCAGAATCCCTCCTATTCCGGATGGCCCTGGGTTACCTTGTTAGCTACCATCAAAATTCAATTTTACCATTCCATCTGGTGTGGGTTTCCATTCGGCTTGTGGTTTGTTCTTTGTGGAGACTGTGGAAGCCACTGCTGCCCAGTTTCTCCTTAAGTCATCAAAGGAGTTATCTGCCAACAAGTGAAGATTTCAACCATGACCACGAGGCTGTGGCTGTCCTTATCATTATGCACTTCTTGACTTCAGCAATGCTTCTTTCATTTTCTTGAAATATTCTAGCATCTCTCCTCCCACAAGGTCCACAAGGTAGCGGCTCTGATATATTTCCACATTAGCTTCCCTCTTTTTGTCATTCTTTCAAAGGCAGATGGAGAGAATAGCAACTTTACTTCGGAGGGCAAGTTCCACCTGCACCCAAATAATGATACAACCTAGTCCAAATATTGGCAGCAAAAGAGCATGATATCGGCAAATGGTTACAGTCCTCACCCTTCACTTTGCACATAAAGCACCAATTTGGGGACAAACACATTTAAGGTTTCTTCTTTTGCAAGTTTTCCACGGTATTGGTCTTACCATAATAGGCTTCCCAGCAGAACACAGCTATTTTAGGAGGTATTGGCCTTGACCAGACCTCTTTAATAGGGAAGACCTGAGAGGAGGGGTTGGAACAAAGAGAGTTAAAGAAAGATGCACAAGTGAAGGAGCCAACCGGGGCTAGAGACCAAACCCTTTTATTCGAGCTAGGGGGTCCAAACACATAGAGTCTAGAAGCAATAAGAGCTCTGAAACACAAGAAAATTCATCATCCCTTAACCCTCTTCGGACTCAAAATCCTAGTTTAAAGCCAAAGGAAGAACGGGGGGGGGGGGGAAGGAACCATGAAATAGATTTCTTTTTAAAGAGGGAGATGGAATAGAGAGAAGGGAAACAGTCTTGTTGAGTGCTCACCCAAATATCTTCCCAAAAAAGAACGGAGTTTCCAAAACAAACATCATATCTTACAAACCTGAGGAATTTGGGGAGAATGCCGGAAATAGCCTTCCAGGGTGTTGTGAGCAAGGCCCTTCGGGATACCCCCGTGCCCCAACTTGATTCAAAACAGCCATGGATACTCTTTACTACTTCATGCCACAACCTCTCTCTCTCTCTCTCTCTCTAGGGGCCACCTCCAAAGCCACTTACCTAAAAAATCTTCATTCTTACTGACTACATTCCCTAATCTTAGGCCGCCTTCTTTTTTTCTTACTCACTACCTCCCACTTAATCAAGTGGTCTTTTTCTCTTCCCCAGGTTCCCAAAGAAGTCCCTCATCAGTTTTTCCAACTTCTTTGCATCCCTTTTAGGAATTCTAAAGACTGACAATAAGTATATTGGCAAGTTGGCTAGAGTTGCCTTAATCAAAGTAACTCTACCCCCCAAGGTAATATAGTTTCTCTTCCAAGCTACCAATCTTTTTTTGAATTTTTTCACCACTGGGTTCCAAAACCTACTTTCCTTTGGATTTGCACCTAAGGGAAGTCCTAGGAAGGATGAAGGCCACTATGACCAAGTGCATTCTAAAGAGGCTGCTATAGACTCCATCTCCTCTCTGTTCAAATTTATTCCCACAACACAACTCTTCTCAAAATTTATGTTCAAATTTGAAGCCCTCTCAAAGTGAATTATTAACTCCTTTAGATTTCTTTTTCTTATTCAAATCTGTTTCCTTAGTGGCTTAGTTGTTGGAGTTTGAACGTTTATAATATCAATGTGAAGTGTATGAAAACTTGCAAAATATTGTTGAAATACATATCCTTTGAGTAATATTAATAGCATTGTTCCTTTTGTTATTATTCATTCTGATGCTTAGAGTCCGATTTGTACTACCTCTTATTTGGCTGAAGCTTTTTGTTATTTTTTGTTGATTAATTTACTCTGCCCACTTGGGTTTATTTGATGAGGATCTGGCATTGGTTTTCTCTAACTCTAATATTGCATTCTTCTGAAAAAATCTGGAAAGAAGCCTGCTTCTTAACCCTTTTATCATCAATCCCTTCAACTTCAACTAAACCAGGTTACCTTGATCCTTATCCTCTTTATTTTTAATGTTAACAGCAGCATTCTTAGTCATGGGCATCCTATATTTTTCTTCCAATCATTTAAAGATTTTCCTGGCAAATTCCTTTCCTCCTATGAAATGAAAGCCCATAGTTTTGCTTTCCTCCACCTTTGTGTTTACAACCCTTTCTAAATCAATTGATTTTTCAATTACATGTGTTTCATCAATTGTCATCTCTTCATCATCATTAAATACCCTCAAACCTAAGTTTGTTCAGCCATTGCCTTCTAATTCCTTCTTCTGGGTTTCATTCAATTCGTTCTCCCCCTCCTTATCGCTTCCTCCTCTCTCCTCACCTTTCTCACAAACATCTAATGAAACTGCTGCCACATCCCCCTTTCTTTCAAACACCTGCTTCTCACCACCCTCACCACACCCTTCTTTTGGTATACTGTTCCCATACTCTTCTATTTCCTTTATTTTGTCAACTTCAGGCACTGGATCATTCTCTCTATTTTCATGCACCACTGAAGGTGTTTTTTCCCTTGATTACACTCCAATCACCATCCTCATTTCTTCCTTCCAGAACTCTTGTTTCCCCTTTCCTTGTGTCCTCATTCCCAGACTCTATCAACAGGTTATTGATTAGCCCATCTACCTCCTCAGAAGGTTCTCTAGAACTTGCACATGTCACCTCTTTATCAACCACCAGCATTTATTTCTGTTGGATCACCTTCAGAACTCACACACGTCTCGAGTCATATTGATTCCACCATCTATAGCGACCTCCCTTGTCTTTTTTCCTGTTCTCCCACCACAACTTGAATAGGGTGAGTTTTCTTAATTTTCTCCTCCGCTCCTCCTTTATGAACTTAAGCTTCTCTTGTTGCTACGAAACTCTTAGCTTTATCATCCACAAATCAACTAATGTATATGTTAGTGAAGGGGTATTTCGGTCTTTGTGCCTGTTGAGATTGCTGAGTTGTTTTATTATGTTAGTTCGAGTGCCTCTTACTTAAATAAGGGCACTGATGTCTTTTCCTATCACATTAATAATATAATAACAGGTCTGGCCAAATGTAGGGGTTTGATTTTTTCCTAATTTTGAACCAGACCTTTTCTCTCTTTCTTCCTTCTTCTTGCTTGCTTGCTTTACTTGACTGCTAACAGACAAACAGACTTCTAGGGCAGGCCGAACTTYAACATGGTATCAGAGTCAAATTAAACAAATCGGACTTGCCTAGAATTCTGTCTTCTGCGCATTCGACCTAGGGTTTTCTTTGATTTCTCAGCCGTCGATTGGAGATTGGAAAAAGGGCTGAAA